ATTTTGAAAGAAAATAAGAGAAGCATGAGAGAACTTTAAAATGGAGAAATTTTTGGAATGGCAAGAGTAGTAGTGAATAAATGAACTAACAAGAAATTCTACAATAGTTGGGAGTATTTTGACAAGTGGTGCTCTCTCAATCAAAGCTTCACAATATTTATCTTGAAACACTCTACTTCTCTATTTGTTGAAGAAAACAGAGAGCTTTGATTGAGAGAGATACTACTTGTCAAAATTCTCCAGAATATTGTAGAATTTCTCATGAACGCCTTAGCTGGATATTGTAGAATTTCTCATGAATGCCTTATAAGAAGTGTAAAAAGAGATAATAATAATAATAATAATAATAATAATAATAATAATAATAAGACATACTACGTGCACGAGCCAAGACTGTCATTTACGAATGATGCGGAAGGTGGAAAATGACAAATAAATTTTTTTTTTTTTTTGAATGGTAAAGCAAACAAAAAACCCATTTGCCCACGCTTGGGCTCGAATTAACAACCCTCACCCTACCTGACACAATAATATTGTCCGCTTTTAACTTTTCCGAACTGGTTTCTCCGAACCAGACTTCCCAGTCTTGAATATTTCATCCATTCTGGTCGTCAATAATTCATCTGTTCTGGTACTACTCTCGCATAAGCACGCTTAACTGTGGAATTTTGATGGGTTCACGGCCATTACAACTTTAAACGTGTTGTGTCATGAAGGGTGTTGACCTTACATGTAGCACTTTCACCTCATCTTCCTTAGGTGATGTGTGATCATAATGTACACCCTTAATCTACTAGTGTGGTAGCTCATCAGTGTCTCACACCTGCTCATAAAGGTCATCACAATCACCCCCATGGGGCCCAACGTCATTGTTGGCCATATTTTTGGTTGGGAAACGGCTCTTATACGTACCACGCGTTCTGCGAAGTTGTGATGGGTTCACGTCATCGCGACTTAAAAAGGCATTGTGTCTTGGAAGGGTGTTGAACCTATATATATCACTTTCACGTTTACCTTCCTTAAGCGATGTGGGATCATGACACCAGTAATATGCCAGTGTGGTAGCTCGTCAATGTCTCGCACCCGCCCACAAAGGTCATCACAATCACCCCCATGGACCCAACATCCTCATTGGCTACGCTTCCGACTTGGAAGTGGCTCTTATACCACGCTGGCTCTTATACCATTTGTAAAAGCCCTCACACTACCTGGTGTTGACCCTAAAATCGGCTGACTAGAGCTGATCTTAAATTGAGATGTTGCGGGCATGCGAGAACCAACTATATGGTTCAATTGTGAATAGTCAACTTGCAGTCTCTTTGATAAATTTGACTATCAGGCGATTATAGGAGAAAGAGAACAAAAAATACTCCTTAATGAGTTCTAACTACCTTAGTTAAAAGGACTTTTCAATGAATAACTTATAGAAAGAAATAAAGAGAGAAATAAAGAGAGATTTAGAAGGAGAGAGATAGAACGAGATTTTGAGAGAGATAGAGATAGGAAAAGAAAGAAATAGCAATGGTGCTATTTTGGGAAAGAGCTTGAGAAAGAAAACAAAACAATATAAAGATTCTGAAGATACTGGAGCTCTAGTACAGCATGCCTCTTTGTTTATTTATAGAAAAACAAATGGTAAAACAAATTCCTAAATACAAGCATTCTAGTTTTATTATAATACAACTAAATAATTATTCAAAACAAACTAATCCTAACTGAATACTAATTCTTAACTAAATTTAAATACAGGATAAATATATAACTCTTATCTAATGTATTTAAAGTTCAAACATCTTCTATCCAATCTACGGTGCCCTTGCATGTAGCTTGGTTCTTATGTAAACTCTGCAATGTCACTCAAACCAAATTCTATCTGCTACTCTTTCAAACATAATCCATGTGAAGCCCAAACTTCTTCTAACTGCATTGAACTATCCCAACCGAAGTCCAAGTTAATTGTTTAATCCATGTAGACTAAAAAATGTCTTTTAGCCCAAACTCATTACTGCATGCTTTAGCCTAGTATCCTCTCGGCCCAAACCTCTACCATGTCACTATTCATCAGGCCCAATTAGAATCCAAACTCAATTACCAAAATGGGTGTCAACACCTGGTACAGTATTGTTTACTTTTGACTCCCCCGGACCAGATTTTCGAGGAGGTTATCCATCCTGGTACTAGTATAAGCACGGTTCACGACCGGTCATCACGGTTTCAAAATACGTTATGTCATAAAAATGTGTTGAACTTACGTATAACACTTTTACCTATACCTTTCAAGGCAATGTGGGTTCTAGAATTACTTGTTGGACTTCTAGGTGTCTCTCATATGCTAGAAGACTACAGCTCATTAAATATATTCTTCTCAATATGATTAGGTTTTGGTGTGGCCTTTACATTCTTCCAAAGATGGTCATCAATCAAATCAACATGGTGCTGAAAAGGGTTAATTTGAGAGCAACAAATGCACAAGTTGCATGGTGCAATGTATATAAACCGAGGACTTTGGAGGCATTGGCATCCCTAAGTTGTCATCTTTGAATATAATCTCAATGTTGAGGCATATTTGGAACTTGTTCAAGGACAATAGTCAATCTATTTGGCTTAGATGGGTGCAGAAAAAGATTATTAAAAAATTGTAGGTTCTAGTCCATCAAACCTACTCAAACTTACTCTTGGAACTGGAGGATGATTCTGCATTTGAGAGGAATTGCTAGACCTTTTGTCAAATACATTGTAGGTGATGGCAAAGGCATTTCCTGTGGCATGACTTTTGGCTTCCTTCAGGGCCTCTTGACATGAGAATTGACAATGATCTCATAAGGTATTCTCAGTGGGAGGACATGACTATGGTCAGAAGCTTCATCAGGAATGAGCAATGGAGATTTCCTAGGCTTTTCATCAACGTGGTTCCATCAATTGGAACAACTGAACAACTGCCTATTATCAGAGTTCGAATGAAAGACTTAGTCATATGGACTTTGTCGATCTCCTACTGGGAATTTCAACCTCTCTGCCACTTACCGAGTTCTATTGCCTCCTTCTCCTTCCATTTCGTGGCATAGTTCCATTTGGTTCTCTAATCATATACCAAGGTACTCATTCATTGCCTGGTTAGCTCTCAGTTGCAGACTCTAGGCCAGAGACAGTCCTAGTCTGGCAACAAAATTTAATTATTTTCTCTTTGCCTTGCTAAAGCTGAAAGTCATGTCCATTTGTTCTTCAAGTGCAATTTTTCTTCTGATGTCTGGAATTACTTCCAACACTTATGTGGGATTTACATTGGTGATTACAATGTTTTTGACATTGCGAACTGGTTTGTTGGATGTGGAGCTTCAGCACCAAACATCCTAAAGCCTTTGTGTTCAAATTGTGCTTCACAACTTGTATCTACTTTCCGTGGAGGGAAAGATACAGAAGAAATTCTGCTAACAAACAAGCTTCAATTGGAGCAGTTCAGAATCAGCAACGTGCACAATCGTCTTCTTTCTTATAAGCTTAAGAATACTACTGAAGCAAGAATTGTGGCAGTAGCTTGGAGCTTCCAAGCTATGTTTTTCTTTTACCTAGATTTTCACTTTTCTGCAACTGTTTTTGCAGTTGTGGATGCGACTGCTAGATGCTCCTGTACGTGTGGGCCTGTTTTTTTGTTTTGTTTTATTGGGCTGCCTTTGGGTTAAGCCTTTCCTGTGTACAGTTTCTTCTTTTTAGTGAATGATGGATTTATCCCCCCAAAAAAAAAAAAATTAATGTGGGATCATGGCACCCGTGCGCCTTGCCTTATAAAAAAATGTTGAATCAACACATAACGCTTTCACTTTCACATTTTTCAGGCAAAGTAGGATCACGATACTTGTAGCTTACTAGTGTGGCATCTCTCGCTTAGTGTATCGCATTCGCTCACAGATGTCGTCACAAAACCCCTCCCTTTCCTCTCTTTCTTGAAAAAGAAAGGTTATACCACTAGATCAAAAGCTTAGGTAAAACATGACAGGTACATAACACGCAGATATAGAATAAGAAGCTGCGGAATATGGTGGATATAGAATTATTATATTTTGAAATCACAAATTTTCTGTCACCAATTAGTCAATGTAGTAATACGAATGCTTTTAGTAGATGAGTTCGATTCAACTTGTACAATCCATTCAACTCGCGTAAATTTACAGAGTCGTGCCAGACAAAGTTTATTTAATTCGTATGATGATCCGAGTTAATTTGCCAAGTGTCAGGTCCACCTTTCTTTGAGCCATTTTTTTCAACATATATATACTTGAAGCTGAACATATCGTTTAAACTTGAAATTCTGTCACTTCACTTTAGTAATAGATTGGTCTACGTATCCCTCAACTATGTTGACGTAACCACTTAAAACTCTCACGCAAATTAGTCTTTAATTTTCCTACGCACTTTCCTTTGTACCTTCAAAAACAGAGCATTGAGTTTAATCCACAACTATAAAAAATAAAGGTATTAAAATTTAACAAGGTATTACAAAGAAATTAAAATCGCTAGATACATTATTAAATAGTCTATGTAATTAAATGATAACACATAGCGTGTAATAATAATAATAACTTAGAGCTAGCACTGTAAAAAAAAAAAAAAAAATTACAAAAATCTTATACATAATATAACTTTAGGTGGCTTAATTGTTACATTATTGTATGGCTTCAAAAATTCAAACATACTTCCTTAGTATGCATGACACCTACATCCACATAATTACAAATCACTGTTTGTGCTATACATGAATTTCTTAATTCCAGCAACCCAAAATCAATTAGTTGATAACTAGGTCAAAATTTGTCATTTTTATCTAATCTCGATGATGGGTTCACAGTAACTTAAGTTCTAGCCCCAAAAGGCTAGTTTTTTTACTTATTTATTTCTGCAATTTGGAGCCCACAATCATTGGGTAAATGAAGATGGTTTGTTCTCACTTCTCAGTATATATATAAATCTAGGTTGATGGAAAACAAAGCACGTCTATTGAGACTATGGCTTCAATTCCATTCTTCGTCTTCCTAGTTGCAGTATTCTTGCTCAACCCAGCATGCATTTTAGACGGCCATGCTGGGGCGATTGGGCCGGAACAAGAACGGGAGAGTACTAGAAAGCACTTTGTCCTAGTTCATGGTGCTAACCTTGGAGCATGGTCCTGGTACAAGCTCATCACCCTGCTCAAATCCGACGGTCACCGTGTCACAGCCTTCGACCTTGCCGGAAATGGAAGGAACCCAAGGCGGCTGGATGAGGTGGCCTCCTTTTTTGAGTACGTGCAGCCATTGACCGACTTCATGGCTTCCCTGCCTGATGGGGAGACGGTGGTCCTAGTTGGTCACAGTTATGGTGGCATTTGCATTTCTCTAGCCATGGAGAACTTCCCCAAGAAAATCTCGGTTGCAGTTTTCGTCACCGCCTTCATGCCGAATTATACCAATCCACTAGCTACCGTTTTAGAAACAGTAAGGAAATCTCTATTAGAATTAAATATTCTGCAAATAATTGCATCATTAAAATGCATGCATTCTTATGTCTCAAATTTTATATTTTGTTGGTTTTCATTTTGAAATGCAAAATGAAAATATATATATTTTTTTTCAGGTAAAATATTTTATTTTTAGGCATTTGACAAGAGTTTGAAATTGAGGTTTCGAGTGGAGTGTATAAAATGTCTTATCCAAAATTGATAAATAAATTATTTTTGTTAAGTTTTACAAGCAACAGAGTTAGAACGTCTAAATCTCTGGTGGGAGTAATATTTTTTTTCTTTGTAAATATTTTATGACAATCGAACTTCAGAAAACACAAAAAAAAATTTTGAAAAATATTTTACACTCAAACAAATGGAGCCTTAGTTGTATTTTGTTAATAAAAGTTTACTGTCATAAATTAGTTTTACTCAAAGAATTTATATTTTTTACCTAACAAGATAACCAAAAAGAGCCCTGTCAATAAATTGGTAGGTAAAGAGTTGGGTGTCTTGGGACTTCTGAGAACAAGAGATGCTCCTTAGGTAGAGAGGATAGATAAATATATATATATATATATATGCGCACGTGAAGATACAAGAAATTCTTTCTCCACTCTCTCTCTCTCTAGTATTCCTTTCTCTCAACCCCCAAAAAGATACCCTTTTCTTTTCCTTCCTCCTCCTATTTATAGAGGTTTATAAATATTGATGGACTGCTGGATCTAGGCCCGTTCCTCCATGAGTCCCGGTCCTCTTTGATGGGCCTATGCGCGTTCGGCCCATATGGTAGTGTCTTTTTATGGGCCTGACCCACCTGTACGGACTCAATGCCGCGTTTGCAAGTCACACCTAGCCCATGTCATATCGGGCCTCCTCAACTGCCCCCATAATTACCCCTTGTTTAATAAGGGGGTAATTATTGAAGGCGTCTCATCATGACGTTGACGGCTCGAGAAAACCACATGGGGGAACGGACGGTCAGATCCAGAATCAATGTTCCGGGGCTCGATGAAGTTTTCACCTTCCTGACGCTTCGGCCCTCGGGCCCCCCTCGCCTTTATAAGGCTCTAGAATGCCATTCCATGCCCTTTTACCGTCTCCATCATCAGTCAAATCTCTCTCCTTTTAGAACAGCGCTAAGCTTTTTCCGGTGAAATCCTTCAAGAATCGTTCTTCCAGCGGTTTTGCAGTGCTCTTTGTTGCTTTCTACCTCAGAGGTTAGTTTCGTTCCTTTTTACTTTCGGCAGGCTTCTTTTTACCCCTTCTAGATCCTTCAAACACCTCCACCATGGTTGTAGATCTGGATGTTCTTCGTATGAGACTTAGACTTCCTGACAACATCGAAGTTAGGGTTTGCCCTAAGGATGTTAACATTATGACCGGTGCCGGCCTCCTGCCCGGCGAAGTCTTATTCACGAACCTTCAATTGAATGTCGTTAGGTTCCCTCTGCACCCTTTCTTTAGTTATGTCTTCAATAGATTGGGGATATCCCCCCTGCAGGTAAACCCCAATTTCTTTAGAATCATATCCGTTATGCTCCTGTTGATGCGTGACAGAAATCTGGACCTTGACCTCATAGATCTTCTTCTGTGTTATAAGGTCAGTAAGATCCGTACTAACGAGCCCTTCTACCACCTCTACCCGTTCGAGAAGATGTCCATATGTACGGACACAATAAAATCTGAAAAGGGTTGGAGGGATAGCATCGTGGGCATTAGTGGGGCTTGGTCTTCGCCGGCTGCAGAGGGTTACCCAATCCCGAGCGCCTTTGGTGTCTGTTCTGTTTCCTCCTATAAGAAATTCAAATCTCATAAACATGATTGCCCCTGCGAAACATGCGTTCCCCGTTTTTGTACTTTCTTATGCCGTTCCTTAGGAATACCTTGTGATGACTTGAGCTACAGTGTTTGCAGGGATAGGAGTAATTACTTGAAGAAATACGTTCTGAACGATATTCCTTCCTGCTCAGATCTCCTCACTTCAGACAACCTCTTAGTGCTCTCATCACTCGGCTACAACATGAGCAGGCTTCAGATTCCTTCTTTTGGCAGGAAGAAAAATACTCCCCCAGCCACTCCTGCTGCTGGGGCGACCTCCTCTCCAGCATCAGCCTCTTCCTCAGCCACCATCTCTGACACTATCCCGAGCACAGTGGCTATTAACTCTGTTGTCAGCACCCCTGCTGCCAACCCGAGCGCGTCTCCCCAAACTACCACAGCTCCTGCCGCCGTGGGGGGTGTTCGGGACAAAGAACGAGGCAAAAGGCCTCATCCCGACAGTGGAATCGATCCTGAGGAGGAACCTCTCATAAGAAGGACCCGGGTCTCCGGGCCGGGTACTCTCTTGCATCGCCCGATCAGAGCTCCTGCTCCCTCCGGGCCTATTGCAGCTGGTGCCTCTGCTTCTGCTTCAGGCCCCCCTTTGATCCCCACCTTACCGCCATGGGTCCCTCGGTACACCCGAACGGATGGGACGTTCGTGAAACCGAACGAGACCATGCTGAAGGATGGCCAGATCGCCATGGCGTACTATAGGAGCATGTGGACTCCGAAAGACCTTGAGGCGGTAAAGGGCCTATCCCAGAAGGATGTGTTCAGCCGCTTTCCCCAATCTGCTATGGAGGTGACTTTTATTTTCCAACTCATGAATTCTCTCATATTATTTGGTCTTGCCTTCGCCCGACCTGACTATTGGCTTAACCGTTATTAATGTACATCTATGCAGACATTTTTCGGAATGATGGCTATGCAGAAGCAGGTGGAGATGGGGAATGCCAGGGCTCGTAAGTTTTCTGATAGCCTGGAGGTGGCTAATAAAGAAAACGACCTTCTCGCCATCAAGAATACCGAGGTATTGGCTCGGCTTGAAAAAATTGAACAAGAGAGAGATGTCCTGAAGAAGGAGAATGACTCTCTTCAGGATGAGAAGGATGCCCTCCAACTTGAAAAGAGCGTCTGGCAGACTGAGCGTGATTCAATCAGAGACGAAAAGGCAGAGCTCCAGCGCCTTCTGGCTGATGAACAGTCTGCTCGGATGGCTTTTGAGAAGAGAGCTCTGGACGAGCGTACCGCTCTGATCGATGCAATCAGCAGAGTGAGCGGTGGGATGCTGGCTCTTCACGCTTGGTTCTCAAGGGTCGGTGCTCTTAGATATGCTCAAGGATTCCGAGAAGGTTTCGCCGACCGAGTTCCAGAGGAGGGACAGACCAGCTCCACTCCAGATGAGGTTGACAAGGATTTAGGGATCGAACCTCTGGGGGTCTATGTCGACCCAGAACCCACCGAAGCGGAGCGCATATTCGATGAGTACCAGGACATTGCTTCCTCAAGGATCATTACAGCTCCTACTACCGCTCTGCCTTTGACCGCTCCTCAATCGTCAACTGTGGTACCTTCCATAGCCACTGCTGACGTTGAGCCCCAGCCGAACGATTCAGTCATTCATCTTGATTCCCCACCTCGTGAAGGTAAGACGGCTGATGGGACCGAGGAGGTGGGTCGGCACAACCAGGATGCTGTTGGTACTGAGGCAGCTAGCTAGGACTCCTCCGGACTCTTCGATTCCATACCCTTTTTGTAACTATGTGACTTGGATATCTCATTTTTTGTAAACTCAATGCTTATTACGAATGAAATGACAAAACTCTTTTTCCCTTTTTCCTTTGTGCTATGCTCTGTTCAACCTATTTTGAATACATATATGCCTTTTGTCTCTTTTCTTTTATATTAACTTTGCCGTGTGTTTGTTTATGGCAAGTGTCTGGCGTTCGGCTTATGGTGCCGGCTGCCACCTTTAAGTGCCTGGCGCTCGGCTAGAATGCCACTTGCCACTTGGCTTTTCATTTTTTAGCAAGCGTCTGGCGTTCGGCTTATGGTGCCAGCTGCCACTTTTCTTGCTTAAGTGCCTGGCGCTCGGCTAGAATGCCACTTGCCACTTGGCTTTTCATTTTTTAGCAAGCATCTGGCATTCGGCTTATGGTGCCAGCTGCCACTTATCTTGCTTGAGTGCCTGGCGCTCGGCTAGAATGCCACTTGCCACTTGGTTTTAAATTTTTAGCAAGTGTCTGGCGTTCGGCTTATGGTGCCAGCTGCCACTTATCTTGCTTAAGTGCCTGGCGCTCGGCTAGAATGCCACTTGCCACTTGGCTTTAAATTTTTAGCAAGCCATTGGAAAGGAAAGTTATTTTTGTAAACTTCAGTAATTTGCACATTCATACGTACTTGATTGACAACAAACAACATCCAATTAAGGCCGAAACTTAGCTTTTATTGGTAGTACCTCTTCAGAGACGTGGCGTTCCAGGGCTTGCTGACCAACCTTCCCGCCATGGTTTCCAACGTATATGCTCCCTTGCCTATGACTTCTGCAATTCTGTATGGGCCTTCCCAGGGTGGCATCATTTTTTTGACCATCCCCACCTTTCTTTTCAGAACCAGATCGCCAGGGGCAAAATCCCTGTGTTTTACTCTTTTGTTGTGACTATTCGCCAACACTTGCTGATACGATGCTAACCTTATAGCTGCAGCGTCCCTCCTTTCGTCTATCATATCGAGGTTCAATCTTAACATCTTGTCGTTCTGATCTCGACTCCATGCTAAGCTTCTGATAGTGGGGACCAGATGCTCAACCGGTATAACTGCCTCGGTACCATATGCCATTGCAAACGGGCTCTCCCCAGTCGGCCGCCTGGGGGTGGTTCTGTAAGCCCATAGGACGTTCGGGAGCTCATCCAACCACTTCCCTTTATGGTCTTCCAGCTTCTTCTTAATGCAGGCGAAAATGGTTCTGTTTGTGATTTCTGCTTGTCCGTTGGCCTGAGGATGGCTTACTGCAGCCAACTTCTGTTTGATTCCATACTCCTCCAGCAGCTCTCTTACTTGCCTGCTGTCGAGGTTCGTGCCATTATCCATGACTATTGATCTTGGAACGCCGAAACGGCAGATAATGTTGTTCCAAATAAATCGTCTCACATGAGTCTGAGTCACGCTAGG